GTAGCTAGTCCCAGTTCCATCTCTGCCTTGGCCTTCCTGGCCGCCTCCGTGCAGCCCTGAGCAACCACAGTATAGTCCTCCCTTGTGATGGCCCCTCCCTTCCGTTGGATATATGCCAATGAAATATACCCAATGGTATATATACCCAATGGAATATATCCTTTTAGCTAGGAGACGTTTAAAATCCACCGCTTCAATTTAGGGCCCCCATTTCATCTACACATGGCCATAGATATAAACTTACTAAAGCCTAAATATATAAGCTTTCTGTTGCATTTTAAAGCATACTTTTCACTTAAAACACATAGCCAAGATGATAAAGTCTGATTGTTTTGCATGTCGGTGCCTATTTCCATTCCAAACTTTATACAAGGGATTAAAAGATGTGGTTGCCCTTGATATCAGAGACTAGACTTGATGACTCAGAACATTGCATCAAGTTCTTTGTTCCTGAATGCTTTTCTTTAAATTATTCCTTTTGTCCTTGTACTGTGTTAGTTCTTTGAGCTGATTTAACAAACAGAAATGACCCATTGGCTCTGATCAAACAACTTTTATTTAGTCAAATTCCCATTTTATGTGAAATAGGAATGCAGGGTTGGACCAGGGGATTTTGTTGTTGTTGTTCATCCAATACACTTTGTCCACTGCATTTATCATTTATCCAAGGTGAACAGTTGTTGTCCAACCTTACTAGAAAACTTCACAATACGTCTAATTAAATGTACATGTAAACCAATTCACTAAAATGATATAAAAAAGTTAAAATTTAATTTGTAAAAGGGGCAGGGGTTGAAAGATTATAAAACTAGACTGTTCTCAGTGATGGCAGATGACAGAACAAGGAGCAACAGTATCAAGTTGAAGCAGGGGAAGTTTAGGTTAGATATTAGGAAGAATTTTCTCACTAGAGGGTAGTAAAACACTGGAGCAGGTTACCCAAAGGGGTTGTGGAATCTCTGTCCTTGGAGGGCTAGACAAAGCCTTACCTACGCTTTAAGAATGGGGTTGGACTAGATGATCTCCTGAGGTCCCTTCCAACCCTACTTTTCTATGATTATATGATTGTTGTTGTCACGCAGTAACTCTTGTGTGACGACTTGGTCCACAGTTCTTCTAATTCAGTGAGTAGCTTTCCACTACTTTTCCTTGTGAAATTGTGATGGGAGACTAGATCTCCAAATCAGTAAACATTTTTTCATGTACATGAAGTCTGTTCCTGGGCAAGGGCATAAGTAAAGGCTCTAGAATTACTTCTTACTACTTGCTCAAGGCTTTCTCAACATAAAGTTGTAAAAGATATTGTTAACATCTGAGACTGGTTTATATCCACATGGCTAGGTAACGCATTAATATCAGGAAGTATCATACTTGCGTATCTAGGCCCTTAGATTTGCTGGTTGAGGTTTTGATCCTGTAGACTGATTTGTGTG